ACTTGTATGTAATGAGTAGCTATGAAAAGAGTTTTAATTTAAACACAATGGTTCTTTATTCTATTCTTACAAATAATTGAATTGTCTTGAGCTTTAATGCTCTTCTTTGGATCTAATATTTTTATAGTCACATTATAGTGTCTAAATGGCATCAACTGGTCCAAAGTGTAATTTATCATCATTTGATTATCCTCTATTTTCACTTCACTAACATTAAGTTGGTCTAGGTAAACCTGACCATTTGATGAAGCTTCACAAAAAATTACAGTGCCATTGCATAATAAAGGTAAACACATTACCTAAATAGTTCTTTGCATTGATTATTGCATATTTGTAATTCATACTTGTATCAAAACTGCAGAAATGCTCCTTGAGAAATAAACAATTTTTTCATCATCAATCAAACAACCTATAACAAATATAGTTCATTAAAAAGATTTTTGATAAAACTTACTTTGTATTTCATTTTTTCCAGATGCAGTGGTAGTTACAGATTTGTACTGTGCAACAAATGCAGTCACATTGACATTGTAAGTATCACATTCTGTGATATTAGCAAGTTCGACTGAAGTGTTGAATACAGTTTCATTTAATATGAGAGCATGGTTACTATTGACAACAAGTACATTATAAACGAGAGATGCAGCAGAAACATCATTTGAGTAGTATATAGGAGGTAACCAAGATATAAAAAAGTAGTTATCCATAGTAAAGTTTAAAGTCAAATCTTCAATGGATGTTACACCTAATATGGCCAAAAATAAAAACATTCAATACTATTATGTTTTTACCTTGAATAGTAAGCACAACTTCAGCCAGCACGGCATCATGAGGGTTAAACGATATTATAATACATCCAATATGAATTCCATCATTAGTAGGTAGAGTATTGATAGTTAGAACTGATGATAAGGTGCTATTACTGTTGTTGTTACTGATCGTTAGATTTCTCTCTTGTTTGACCAAATCAGTAATAGAAACACCTTCTATTAGCCATGCCAATGCATCTCCAGTTCCAATGCACTGAAAACTAACTGATGTGTAAAGTGGAGCAGTCATTGATATAGGAGCAACTGATATATCTGAGATGATTTGTAAATTGATCTCTGTAATTATTATGATTTACCTGCTCCAGTTACAGGCCAAATAGTTAAAAACAAGACAGAAAATTTCAGCACAATTGAGATCATCCTTGTCAAATTTATTTACTATGTTAAAATCTACAGTTTCATGCACTTATAAAAGCATAGAAGTTATATTAAGTGATACTAGTTATCAAGAGTAAATGTACTCCTGTACAAGTTATGCATTCAATCATAACATGCATTTGAGATTTACTAGAATAGTTATCAAAACTAAAAAACTGACAAGCAATTTGTTCACAATACAATGATCACATAATGACCATTGTGATGTACAATTTGCTGTTGTTATTGTACACGTACATGTATACCATGTAAGTACAGTACAGGTACATGCACACATGCAGTATTTGACACAAAAGAGTGGATAACAACAAGTTATTGAATTTGAAAAGTTGCTTTGATAAACTATGTTTTCCCATGTACAAACACAGCATTGAAAGCAGCTAGCAGCCTAGCATAGGTACATAAATATCATGACATGTGTAGTGTATATACTGACTTTTTTTGGGAATAATGAATTAACAATTTCAAAATATACGTATAGTGGGTAATTTTGTGGTGCTTTATTTTTGTGGTTTTGGGGCTTACTACAAAATTTCCACCCCCAAAACTATTGAAGTACCATCATCTCTTTATAGGCTATGTAAACTGTGAACCACAAATTGCCTAACTGGGAGCAAACCACAAAATACATGCATTGATCAACGAAAATAACTTGCTATTATGGTAATGGGTTGAAACCATGCAATTAGAAAATGGCTGCTTGATGTGCACTTGGAGGGTCTATCTATTAAGAATTCAAAGCACATTTATTAAACGCCACTAATTTATGATATTTACAATCTCCTTACACAGCTACACCTTCATGTATTCTTAGTAGTATGGTACTGTAATGGCTACTATTTTTTAAATGAGATAACAAGTTAGTTCTAGCATATTGTGCCTATTATGAAAACACTCTATTGAGGGCTGTATACATAGTAACACACAGGTATAGCATTTATTATCTATGTACACATACACTACATAAATGTGTACTAATAAACTAACAGCAGATACTACACAACTTATTATTAAGTCATTATTTGAATGCTATTCATGAGCAATATAAACATTTTTATCCTACAACAATAAAAATGCTACAGTGTAGTTCCGACTAAGTTATGTATATCATTACTTTGAATTACTGGAATGTAAGAATTAATTCATGATTCAAAACAATTTCCTTACAATGTGATAGTATTATTCATAAATAGTATGAATATGTCTGTAATGTTTGGGTGGGCTATCATCAATGCTATCAAAGACAGTCAATAATCTAAATCACAATCGTTGCATAGTACATTGTGTATATGGTTGTCTTGGTAACATGATTAAGTCAATTAATGTTAAAATTTGAGACAGAACAAAACATTACATACAAATAATTAAGAACCAGTTACTATCATAATGATCTAAGCTTCTTAAGCTGCTCTTCTAGTTCACACTAAATAGAATAACACAGCAGATAAACTGTACTCTAGTTTGTATTAACTTGCGTTTTCTTGTAGTATTGAATTGTAGCGATGAAGAGATGTTGTTGATTTTGTACTTTTTCATTCTTCACTATGAAGCTCACTCTCTAACTCAATCCTAATAGTATAGTTAACAGAATGATAAATATAATGTCAATGATGGCCCTATAAGCTGCTAAAATGTTCTAGTTGACACTGATTGCAAACTGCATGTACATCCGTGTACATGTACAAGTTACATGTACACATGTACCATTAGTATTGTAACTTCATTCTAGTACTGGAATCAGGTCAAGATTGAACCACATGCAGGAAATTGATAATACAACATTCAATACAATGAACATGTACCTCTTTTGATCTAACTGCCCCATCTCATACAGCATCTTAAACCTTTGTTCTACATACTACAAATGATGATAGAAATAAATGAGATAGGTTGCATGTACCGGTACTTGTTAATCAGGATCAAGTCCATCAACATGAAGGATTGGCTTGTTTTGGCTCAATAGACACTAACATATCGTCAGAAGTACTTTCAAAATTATCATCAACTTTAAAACTAAAAACAAAAATAAAATAAACTTAAAAAAAAAGAAAACTAAATATAGGCAAAACTATACATACAAGTATATGTACATGTACATGTGTATGAAATACAAGATATCATAGTGCATACCTGTCAGGATCAAAGGCAACAACCATCTGATTAGGAGGATGAGAGCCTGGTCTTCTGATCTGATGTATGTCTGATGATGGTGGTGGCTTCTCCACTTCAGTTTTACTCCTTCGACCTAATATGAAGGAACAAATGACTTCAATCATAATACACATGTACATACATGTATCAACACATTTACCCACTAATGATACAACTATATTTGTATCACGAGTGGGAAAATGTATTGATAAAAAAGTACATGTACATATTAAACTAACAAGTTAATAGTGGTTCATTTTTAAATTTGTACGGTACTCCCTTTAGTTTCTTTAAAATCCCATCAAAGGACAGTCTATCAACAGGTTGTTGTGCCCAACACCTAACAAACACATCATGTATCAATGTACATATACATGTAGTATTATCAATGTACACATGTACATGTATATACCGTACTATTATACATACTTTGTCACTAGCTCCCACAGAAACTTTGGTATACCTATGATAGTGGGCATCCTTGCTCCTAATAGTAGGAGAGAGAGGGAGAAACAGAGACAGAGACATAGAGGGAGAGAATGAGTGAGTAGACTGAGTACACATTGTAAATGTATTATGTAAAGGCTATTAAGTAAGATTGAGTGAGTACATATTGTACATTAGAAGCTATGATTAATACCGTAGGACAATTAATATTCGCAAATATTAACTGCTCTACGGTAACTACTCACCTGCATGTACACATCACACTTGTTTGAATGTTTACCTACATGTACATATACAATTGTACACAATTATTTATTCTTATCACTTAATATTATTAATTCTAAAATAATGCCATACATCCCTCAAGGCTTTTATTTTTCTAACATTAATTTGGACAAAGGCTTCTATTAAAAGTAGCTCCCAGCTTCTAACTGAGACACTCTTTATTTATATGAGAAAGGCTTCCATTCTATTTTTTGAATAAATAATATATTGGCATTTTAGAGAAATAAAATCCTTAAAAAAGATTTACAGTTATAGCAAACTAACAAAGGAAGTGGAGCTGAGCTTTTATCCTTCTAACTAGCAAAAACTTTTAATTGTTATTTGCAAAAAGACCTGTATCTATTGTTAATGACACAGCCAGTTTAAAAATAAATTGACAAAATTGAAAACACCTCAGCCACATCATTAAAGGCGGATTTACAATATGACATTAGGCTAGCGTACCGTCAATTTTTAATCAAAAGCATGGGCAATTTGACCTTTTGACACATGCTTTCCGCTAGAATAGAATCAAATCCTACTCCAGCGTCAACGTAATGTCAAGCCTATTGTAATTATTGTAAATCCGCCTTTAAGCATGCATAGTGTTTAAAACTACTGTACGTTGAGGAATGTGACGACTTTTAATTATGGGTACTATAATCAGCAAATTTTATTAATACCACCCCCACAAAATCTACCATGTGTTAAAATTACAAAATTTAGTAACTACAACTAAGCCACTTTACAAAATACAGCACAAAATACATAACAGTTATCACTACTGAGTGATTTGATTGCTCATAATTTTATTCATGAGCAATATGTACCCATAAACATGTTTACGCCACAACAATAAAGAATGCTGGCAGACATCATTCAAAGGAAATTTAATTTTAGTATAAAATTATTCATGAATGAGTCAATAGTATGAATATGATAGGCATGTTGGGTGGCCTGTCAGCAACAATAAACAGTGACAATATGGGATTGCATAGTGTAAATCAGCTTGATTGATTTAGATTAATTCAATTAATGTTAAAAATTTTGAGACAGGACAAAACATTACATACAATAATTAAGAACCAGTTACTATCATAATGATCTAAGCTTCTTAAGCTCCTCCTCTAGCTCCCGCTAAACAGAATAACACAGCAGATAAACTGTATACTCTAGTTTGTATTAACTTACGTTTTCTTGTAGTATTGAACTGTAGCGATGAAAAGATGTTGTTGATTTTGTACTTTTTAATTCTTCACCATGAAGCTCATTGTCTAACTCAATCCTATTAATGTCACATGTAATGTCAATGTGTGTAATGCCAATGATAGAGCTACTAGGGACCAGCCCCTTAAAGTTTACTGATACACTCGTTTAGAATAAACACAACTCTATACATGTACATTGCAATGAATCAGTTCATAGAGCAACACACGAGGCCGATTTGGGTTAGTCTTATGCTGTCATTTGAAAAACTGATGTAATGGGTCTACGATACATGGTACAGTACATCTAAGTTAATCTAGCTAAAATAGACTATAAACTACATGTGTATGTACACGTACACACTACTAGCATTGTAACGCTTCACTGGAATTTGATTAACAGTCTCAACTCTGACATTATAATAAATAAAGCAGATGCAGCTCACTGATAATACAATATTCAATACAATAGTTACCTCTTTTGATCTAACTGTCCCATCTCATACAGTATCTTAAACCTTTGTTCTACATACTACAAATGATAATAGCAATAAATGAGATAGCACTTTATAGAGATTGCTTACTGATTTGTATTGCATGTATACTTGATATGATTCTTGATTTCCTTCTATTGGAATGTATGGCTATACATGTACAATGTATAATAAGAAAGGAAGAAAAGATAGAGAATATACCATAATTATAATGTATATGAAGAGTATAAAAGGAAAGAGAGAGGAGAGGATAAAGAGGTACATGTAGTACAAATAAATTGAAATAATCACTAGATTATTAAATTATTACTTGTCGATCAGGATCAAGTCCATCAATATAATACTGAGATGAAGGATTGGCTTGTTTTGGCTCAATAGATACTAACGTATCGTCAGATGTACTTTCAAAATTATCAACAACTTCAAAACTAAAAAAACAATAAAATAAACTTTAAAAAAATAAATATAGGTAAAACCATACATATGTACATGTACATGTACGTACACATTAATAAGTACAATGTACGTACATACATATTACAATGAAATATATAAAGAAGTGCAAATTATCATAGTGTATACCTGTCAGGATCAAAGGCAACAACCATCTGATTAGGAGGATGAGAGTCTGGTCTTCTGATCTGATGTATGTCTGATGATGGTGGTGGCTTCTCAACTTCAGTTTTACTCCTTCGACCTAATATAAAGGAATGAATGACTTGAATCATAAAATATACATATACATTTAGTTGTATCATGAGTGGGTAAATGTACATAAACTAACGAGTTAATAGTGGTTCATTTTTAAATTTGTAAGGTACTCCCTTTAGTTTCCTAACTATCTCATCAAAGGACAGTCTATCAACCGGTTGCTGTGCCCAACACCTAATGAACACATCATGTATTAACAAACACATGTATTATTATATTCTTACTTTGTCACTAGCTCCCATAGAAACTTTGGTATACCTATGATAGTGGGCATCCTTGCTCCTAACAGTAGGAGAGAGAGAGAGAGAGAGAGAGAGAGAGAGAGAGAGAGAGAGAGAGAGAGAGAGAGAGAGAGAGAGAGAGAGGGAGGGAGGGAGGGAGGGAGAGAGAGAGAGAGGGAGGGAGGGAGAGAATGAGTGAGTACATATTGTACATTACTTAAGTACCTTTGCCTATTGTACGGAAGACATTATAAGGATGAGGCTGTCCCTCCTGATTGAGATCAAGAGTTGGTTTGTGTCGTGTGATCATCTCCCACAGAGTAACAGCAAAACTGCATCACATGATAATCACATGACAATCACATGATTAATAACTACTCACCTGTACACATCACACTTGTTTGAATGTTTACCTACATATAAAAGTGTACACAATTATTATTTTTATCACTTAATATTATTAATTCTAAAATAATACCATATAATCCCTCAAGGCTTTTATTTTTTAACATTAATTCAGACAGAGGCTTCTATTAAAAGTAGCTCTCAGCTTCTAACTGAGACACACTTTATTTATGTGAGAAAGGCTCCCATTCTATTTTTGGAATATATTGGGATTTTACAGAAAAATAATTTTAGATTCATGCGAAATTAACTATAATAAATGCACAATAGTCTTCATTACATTCCACTAGTAGTAGTACATGCAGTGCCATCATACCTTCTATTACTTCAGGTGCCAGGTAATAAGGAGTCCCAATGAATGTGTCAGCAGATGTTGCATCAAGAAGTTTAGCAGTTCCAAAGTCACAGATTTTCAAACATCTTCCATCATCAAACAGGAGCATACTGCGATTATAAAAATATGCATACATATCAGAAATATTGCAAAAATTAAAAATTATCAATTATCTACAAGCAATTTGTGATAAAATACCCTATATATAGCCTATAATAGCCTTTGGCTCAAATTTTGGAGCAACTTTAAAAATTCATAAAAAATTTAATTTTGATTGGAATCAACTCAAACTTTCTACACATCATAAGAACATGGATATGTATTAGAAAAAACAATAAAAATAGAAAATTCTCACATTTTCATTTTTGGTGAAATTTGGCCGAAGACTCTGTACTATAGTACAGGGACTTTAGCCCAATTTTCGAGAAACTTTAAAAATTCATAAAAAATCTAGCTTTAATCGGAATCAACTCAAACTTTCTACACAGCATAAGTACATCTATATGTATCAGAAAAAATTATAAAAATGGAGAATTCTCTTCTTGCCATTTTTGACAAAATTTGGCTGAACACCCAATTATAAAAATGGAGAATTCTCTTCTTGCCATTTTTCACAAAATTTGGCTGATCACCCGTACAAGTACTTTGGCTTGATTTTGGAGCTACTTTAAAAATTAATTTAAAAAATCTAATTTTGATAAAATTTCTATAACTATGAGCATTATCCTCTTTTAACCAAATTCATGAGACAGTTTGTATTATGGGACACTGCCGGTAATTTCAATGATAAGATTTGAAAATTCAATTACCTCAAGTGTCCCATAACTGGTGCATGCATCTATTCTATGCGCATATTATAGTAACTTACTTTGGTGGCTTGATATCTCTGTGTATGATACTGTTATGATGGCAGCATTCAAGAGCAAGGGCCAGCTGCAACGTCCATGACATAAAATGATTAAAATTATAATCATACTCCTTCTTAAGCTCATGTATTACTAAAGCAGAAAAGAGATTACATAAAGATATAAATTATGTGTACAAATGTTCTATTATTACCAGCACTTCAGATGGCATGTCATAATAATATACCGTATAGCGGGAAATTTTGGAGGGAATTAAATTTGGTGAATTTGGCATTTTGAAAGCTATTTTGCTAAAAAAAATCCACCATTTTGAGCCATTATGCGGATGCTCAATGGCACGTGGCTACAAATTACCAAATTAAAATTAGCCAACCACCAAAATTTAGCAATTTGCCAAATTTAAATCCCTCCGAAATTTCCCGCTATACAGTACATTGTACATGTACATCAATATGCATCAAAAAATGTAATAAAAATTTGGGTGATTTTGGAGCCATTTTTTGAAAACAACTATGCACTATAATAACCTTGGGTATTTTTCAAAATGTTTGCATTTTTTAAAAAAAGGCCGTAACTTCAACATTTGACATTGGAATCAGCTCAAACTTTCTACACAGCATAAGTACATCAATATGTATCAGAAAATGTAATAAAAATTTGGGGTGACTTTCGAGCCATTTTTTGAAAAAAACTATGGGCTATAACCTTGGAAATTTTTTTAGAATTTTGGTGTTTTTTTAAAATAGCTGTAACTTGAAAAATTGAAGCTGGAATGAGCTCAAACTTTCTACACAGCATAAGTACATCAATATGTATCAGAAAATGTAATAAAAATTGGGGGTGATTTCGGAGCCATTTTTTGGAAAAAACCATGGGCTATAGCCTTGGGTATTTTTTAAAAAATGGCTGTTTTAAAAAATGCTCATAACTCGAAAAATATTTGTTGAAATTAGCTCAAAATTTCTACACAGCATAAGTACATCAATATGTATCAGAAAATTTAATAAAAAAATTAGGGTAATTTTAGAGCCATTTTTCAAAAAAAAAAAACCATGGGCTATATAGCCTTGGGTATTTTTCAGAATTTTGCCAATTTTAAATGGCCAAAACTCAAAAATTCGAAGTTGGAATTAGCTCACTTTCTACACAGCATAAGTACATCAATATCAGAAAATGTAACGAAAATTGGAGGTAACTTCACATGCATTGTTACACATACTACAGATACATGCACATGTGCATGTAAGTTCATACTTTTATCAAGAGAGAAAAGAGCTATTTCCATGACCATAAACGTCTATGATAAGAAAATCATAAAATGAAGAGAGAGAGAGAATTCGTCATACCTGTGGGCCTTCAGTTCCTCTGGCAAACATTCTAATGATATTTGGATGTTTAAGTGATTGAAGATGAGTGAGAGCCTCAATCTACACTAACAATAAAAGAAGAGCTAGCGCCGGCCATTCCTCACCTCTCTTTCAAAGGAAGGATCATCTCCTATTGTCTTTGAATTGAAATACTTGACTGCTACTTGTCTAGAACGCCATTTTGCCTTATACACACTACCAAAGGCACCACTGCCTAGCTATAAAACACATTGTAAAGAGAGTAATTCACAGATGAAGCCTCTTACCATCAATTTATCCTCCAATTGATTAGGAGCAATAACCTCCATTTTTATATTAATTAGCCCCACCCATAATCATGAAAGTCAGCCACACCTTCTGGGCCTGGCCTCTCTTGAGTTGATTGAACTCATTGAAGAATACAAATTGCATGTACTAGTACTGTTCAATACTTATCATGCACACACAAAAACAAAAGAGAGAGAGAGAGAAAGATGAATAAAGAGAAAGGACGAATCTGTGAATAAAAAGAAAAAAGAGAAAAATGAGGAGAGTGCATTAGAGAAGGTACTATAATAGTAAAACTTTGTAGCTACAATACACTGATTTTAGCTTTCTGATTCTCTAATTTCCTAACAAAAGAAAGGTTAAACAAAATAAATGTTTGTTTCATTATTTTTGATCAATCAAAATTGGTGTGAGCAACAGTACAGCAAAAGGGATTGAGCCAATGACAATGCATATGGAGAGGTGAGGATACTGATTTCATATATTTGAATGAGAATGACGTTTTGAAAACTTAATATAAAAAACAGTATTTCAATAAAAATTTTGAAATCTGTAATATCTATTGTTTGACTATTAGTGGTTGCAACAGATAGGATTTTTATCTATGTTTGGAAAAATGGGGCACAAATGAAACAAAGGAACTATGGCTTAAATCAATAATGAGTAAGGCCATTATTCTTACAACTCATTGGCATATCTGGGGACATGCACATATCATAAATCCTGCTTCATATCCTTGTATGACATCTACCTACATGTACATCACAACTACTTCCATATGGCAAAATGGCTATAGTTTGCTATTCACTTGTACAAAGTCATAAACTCTTAAATATTGTTAATTCAAGCTATTCTTTAGAGGCATTTGCTTACTATTTCTTTCAATTCCATCAGCTACAGCCTTCTCTCCCATCTTCCTTAATGCTTGTATTAATGCATCATAAGTTCTATTCTTTACATTATCTCTTTGTTCCAACCATGCTGTTAAACACTTTGTTAGACATCCACGAACATCATCTTTGTTATTTTCCTTAATAACATCAAGTGTACGAGGAAGCAGACCCAAACGAAGACCAAGAAAATAATAATCAACACCAGAATATCCATGATCCCATAGTAAATCAAGTATATCAATAAGATGACTTGTATCTAATGGAAAATAGTATCATTCTTAGATGTAGATTAAAGCATGTTATATAAATTATACTTATAACATTATATTTATTATTTATATTTATTTACCTAATTCAGTGGGTTGTCCTCCATGTCTCTTGCTAGGTGCATCTGATGCTTCTACTCCTAAAAAATACAAATAATTTTTGCTGAAAAATGATTTAACATTCTGAATAACGAAAGTGATACTAATGGTTCATATATAAATTTATTTTGTCTTACGTGTATATTACTAACCTGGACTGGAGATTTGATCACTAAACCAGCATCTACAGCTATCATCATCACTTTCCAGTACTTCACATGGTGATCGGCAATGAGTACATATGGTAGAAGAATAATCTTCTTTGACAATGCAATAACATTGTTCATCTGCTGCACACTTGAATGCAAAGATGTGATTATCATCAACGTCAAGATTTTTGCTGCTTCTTTTGATAGCTTCTATGACTAACTTACGAATTTGAGGACAAGCTTTCTTGCAATCATAAAAACATATTTTGATATGTGTATAGCAATTTACAATATCTATAGTGTACTTTTTCTTTTCTATGTAAACATGAAGTGACATGGCATCATAATATCTGTAGTATGATTTGCCTACTGGAGTGAAGTCTACATAATCTCTTTGCTCCAAAAGGTGTACAATGGTTAAAGGAAATAGCCCTTGTGGGATGGCTAAAGTTTTTGTGCCGCTATTGCCAATCTGCCATGCTATAAGAAGTGGTTGTATCTTCGTTGAAGGTTCTTCGATCTTATCACAAGATGGTAATGAGCAAGGAAAGAAATAGTGTCCTTCTTCTTTGTTTTCTACTTCTGCAATGATGTGAAGGTGTTTAAGAAGAGTGATCATGTGAGATGGTTGAAAATCATTGTTAAAAATTTGTTTACCAATAATTGCTAAAAGTTCTTCTTTAAAAAGACCTAATTTGACGAGACTATTCTTCTCCCCAGGAGAAGGAGGTGGATCAGCAATGGACTGTATCTTAGCTTGACTAACATAAGTGATAGCTATTAGACGTGAAAGAACATCGAGAATTGGTTTAGGATTAATGAATATTAAATTCTCTAGTACATCACCATAATAAAGAATGATAGTCACATTGTGTAAATATTGCAGAGCTGTAATGATATCAGATTCTTCATCAAGTCTAAGAGATTTACCAATCTTAATCACTTCTGTTTTTGTAAGAAAACTTCGTTTCTTCCTCTCAGCTTCTAACTGTAGTGATATCTCAAAAGTAAACAATCGAATCGGTAACTTAATTGTCATTTCGACTCTACAGTTTGAAAGTTCAGTACAAATTTCCATGCTAGCATCTTCTCGTTCTTTAGATCCAGCAGGGAGCATTGTATTAACTGGAAATATAATTGATTCTTGAGGTGTATTCCAAATGACACTTTTAAGAGATAGGTTAGAGCTATTGATCAGACTTTCATTCATTTCTTTGAGCTTTTCCTCAGTTACCAACTCTTTACGAGTACCAAGGATAAGATAATGATGGTGTTTAGGCATGTCAGAGACATAAGGAAATTTGATGGGATTCACCATGGCTTCAGAGCTAATTGTTGATCGAATTATACTACGATTAGAATAATGCAGCTTTGTTTTAATAGGAAACATATTTTGACTAATGCGATATTGAAAATTGGACTTCTCATCTAGACCTTTAGTGAGATCAATGGTGATAATATTCAGTGCAGCTGCTTTTGTAAAAAGAGGCAGCAACTCTCGATATGCAGGTTGACCACCAGAATCAATAAAATACACCCAATTTGCGTTTAACTTTTTAGATTTTCCAGTTTTAAAAGCATGCAAAATTCTTTCACCAACTTCAGTATTGGTTAGTTTATTCTCAGTTGATATATTCTCAGTTGATATCTTTTGGACTAGTTTCTTTTTGGTTGGCTCATTCTTGGTTGGTTCATTCTCAGTTGGTTCAGTCTCACTTGACTCACTCTCACTTCGTTTATTTTTGGTTGGTTTTTTTGGTGGCTCGTTTGTTGCTGGTTTTTCCTCTGATAATTCATCTGAACTATCAGATATATCATCTTCAGACCTTGGTACTTCATCTACTTCTGTAGATGCCAGCTGATGAAGTAAATCTTCAATATCAACCTTCTCCCACTTTCTATTTTTATCATCAATAGATATTCTTGTTGCTTGAACAGCAGGACAAGCTACTGATGTACTATCAGTAAGTTTGTCCCAAGGTGGTGGTGGCTCATTAAGTAGGAGGCGTTGCGAACATGTTTTACCAGCTCCAGGTGCACCATGCATATTGATACGAGTAACTTTTAGCTCAACTTCCCCTTCTTTAAGCCAATTTTCTATTCCTAAAAATTAATGAACGTAGAGCATTTAAGGGCAAGCCTAAGCTAGTAATCATGCATGACAATTAGCAAATCATTATGATAGAACTGCATGGAACAAGCAAAGCATTGTAAATCAAACATAATTACTTTCTTAAACTCTTAACTTTCTCTTGCTGCTAAAAAAGCGTATCTGCCTTATTTTGGTGCTAGAAAGCTGTTGTTACTCATCATTTTTATTTTATAATTTAGCCAATCCACTTTCAATGAAAAATGACCACCATATAATTCAGGCTTGTGCCAAATACAAATACATGTACATGTAAGTAAAACTAACGAGATGATAATGGCTCATTTTTAAATTTGTAAGGTACTCTCTTTAATTTCCTAACAATCTCAGCAAAGGACAGTCTATCAACAGGTTGCTGTGCCCAGCACCTAATGAACACATCATGTATCAATGTATATACACATACTATTATACTTTGTCACTAGCTCCCATAGAAACTTTGGTATACCTATAATAGTGGGCATCCTTGCTCCTAATAGTAGGAGAGAAAGAGGGAGAAAGAGAGGGAATGATGAGTGTATGCTACTATTAACTTAAGTACCTTTTCCTATTGTACGGAAGACGTTATAAGGATGAGGCTGTCCCTCCTGATTGAGATCAAGAGTTGGTTTGTGTCGTGTGATCATCTCCCACAGAGTAACAGCAAAACTGCATCACATGATAATCACATGATTAATAACTACTTACCTGTACACATCGCATTCAAATGAATGTTTACCTACATGCAGACATGATGTCCACAAAATTAAAAAGTACAATTACTACTACTAAAGATATTTGATACTTTCTACAGAACTACATACTATTAGTTAATATACATGTATACATGCATATAATAAAATCATAACAGGAAAAATGAAAAAAGGTATTTCATTAATGCAGAAGGCATTATACCTTCTACTACTTCGGGTGCCAAGTAATAAGGAGTTCCAATGAATGTATCAGTAAATGCTGCATCATCAAGAAGTTTAGCAGTTACAAAATCACAGATTTTCAAATGTCTTCCATCATCAAATAAGAGCAGACTACAAAATGATAAACAATTATTTATTACTACATGTACATGTATGTTATAGCTAGAAAATTTGGAGTGTCAAAATTTATGGTGAATTGAGTCAATTGACTCTAAAAGAGGCTTAGAGGTTAAAATTTTGGAAAAATTTTTAACATTTGCCGAAATTTCAACTACATGTATGTGCATGCTGCTACAAAGCCCTATCATAAAATTTTGGCAAATGAATATCAATTTGCCAAATTTACCAAAATTTTGCTCCACCAAATTTTCTAGCTACTGTATATACTACATGTAATGAAATAAAATTTCCAATACATATTGATGAACTTATATCATGTAGAAAGTTATACCAATTCTGGTGACTTCTTAAATGTTATTGACATCTAATAATAGTACTTATTTGGTGAAAAAAATGGCCAAAAAATTAGGTTTAAAACACTTCAAAATTTTTATTCCACTCTTTGATACATGTACATGTACATATTGATGCCAAAGTTTTAGTCATTTCAAATCAATGCTTTGACTTAAAGTGGCTATGTTAAAAGTTCAAACTACCTAGGGCTTCGACCCCAGGTCATTCCTAAGATTATCTATAATTGCATGTGAACAATTCCATTTCTTCTATACACATTGTATTAGAGAAATAACAGGATTAAGACACTTTAGCAACCATCCATCTACTGTATAGCGGTTTTTTTGAAGGATAAAAAATTTCGTGGATTTTTCAAGATTCACAAAATTAAATTCCTTGAAAATCAATTTAATACGGTACAAGATGGCAGAATAGTGGAAATTCGCAAAAAATTAATTCTGCCAAATTCCAGATACAGGTCATTTGTGAAAATTATTATCCTCACAAAACTGCTATATGGCATGCCCATTATGTAAAGTGGGTGTGGCCAGAGCAAACAAATAGTGGTTTTTAAGCTTTCTAGCAACAAAATGAAGACACCATTTGTAGATATTAGACTAAAGGGAAACAGGAAACTAATGTACGGAGCCTGATCTCAAACTAATTATCAGGAACAGTTATACTAATGTTCCATGATAATTTTATTATCATGGCTGTATATACATGTATATGTAACTTATAAATAGGGGCCAGGGGGGATGGGATAATGTACATGTAAAAAAGGTTCCTGATAGAGAACAAGTTTTAACAATTGCTTCTTAAAATCTATTTGACATTAATTTCATTGTTTTTAAAATTGCTATTAAAACATGTACCACAAGCAATTGGGGCCAAGTACATGTACATTGGTACTTGTACTGAAGTCCAACACCTCTCTGAGGTACTTGTACCAAGATTTGTGTGATTGCCCCCCCCCAATGCAAACTTCATACCTATGCCTATGGCTATGAACATAACCAGGATTGGAAACAGATCACATGAAATTAAATTTTAACTTAAATTTTGCTAGTTGCCATTTCTGACATACAAACAGTTTGCTTGGCAGTTGGTGCAGCCATACTTGCGTGGGTATGTGAATGATATTTTGGTTCCAGTTCAAATCAACTGAGAACAACTATATACACGTACATCACAAGTGGGAGAATGTAATCTTAGAAATGATCTAGGGGCTTCAACTTCAGGTCACAAAAAGACCAGCCTTTTGCATGGGTTCCTCATGCTGAAAGATTATATGTAAGTCAATTAAGATATCTCCCAGTTTCATAATTATGAGCATTCATGCATGTTCTACTCTTCCACCAATCTCCCCATTCATTTGTAAATCTATATTAAAAATTTATTAGTGATTTACTTTGTTGGATTGATATCTCTGTGTATGATACTGTTATGATGGCAGCATTCAAGAGCAAGGGCCAGCTGCAACGTCCATGACATAAAATGATTGAAATTATAATCATACTCCTTCTTAAGATCATGTATTACTAAAGCAAAAAAGATTACATGAAGTTATAAATTATGTGCAAGAATCTTTAACAAAATATTCTAGCATGACAAGATTCATGTACATGTATGTAGTAGCATACTTTTATCAAGAGAGAAAAGAGCAACTTCCATGACTATAAATGTCTATAACAAGGAAATCATAAAATGAAAGAGAGAAAGAATGTGTCATACCTGTGGGCCTTCAGTCCCTCTAGCAAACATTCTAATGATATTTGGATGTTTAAGTGATTGAAGATGAGTGAGAGCCTCAATCTACACAAACAATAAAAGAAGAGCTAGCTCGATCATTACTCACCTCTCTTTCAAAGCAAGGATCATCTCCTATCGTCTTTGAATTAAAATATTTCACTGCTACTGGCCTAGAACGCCATTTTGCCTGATACACACAACCAAAGGCACCACTGCCTAGCTATAAAACACATTGTAAAGAGAGTAATTCACAGATGAAGCCTCTTACCATCAATTTATCCTCCAATTGATTAGGAGCAATAACCTCCATTTTTATATTATCTTTCTTATTAATTAGCCACACCCATAATAATAAGAGCTAGCCACACCCTCCTGTCCTTTTCATCGTTATTAATTTTTAAGGAGAAACTTATTATTGTACAAAAAATGAATGATGAGCATAATGAAAAAATTATTAAGTTAGACGTCTCAAAAATGATTGAAGAACACAAATTACTGTTCAATACTTATCATGTTGGGTAAAGCATGCACACACAAAAAAACAAGAGAAAGAGAGAGAGAAAGAAAGAAGATAAATAAAGAGAAAGGATGAATCAGTGAATAAAGAAAAAGAAAGAAAGAAAAAGAAAAAAAGAGGAGAGTGTATTAGTGTATAAAGAAAGAGAGAAGATACTATAATAGTCGTGTTAATTCGTAAAGAACGTCGCTGAGGATACTAGATAAAGAAGGATCTAAAGCGTCAGACATACCAAGTGTCAGCACACGATTACAATAAGGAAGGAAAGAGATCCTGTTCACTGGAACCTTAGCAATACAGTGAAGAGTGACGGCAGCACGACGTAACATGGCCAGTGAGAGGGCACTAGCATCATCAGCATATTGAGCTGACATGTAACGCGTCTTAGAAATATTAAGAGACGACTCCAAACACTCCAACAGCAAAGGGAGGGTCATCTTCTGCTGGCCTATCATACGACTAGCCCCTTCACTACCTTGTGCCAAATCAGAGAGAAGTACCAGTGCAAACTGACGAACGGCAGGGTACTTCTTTTGACCTACAAACTGGAGTAGCGTAGAGTACACTAAATCAAGGCGTGTTAGAGGAGGGGTGGCCAGTATGAAGTCGACGTTTGCTTCCGAGATCGATATTTTAGCGAGAGCCTCAACGACAAGTCTCTGAGGAGAGAGTGAATAGACCATGGCACTATCAGGGAGTGGGTCAGTGGCCACAGACGAGGGACACACTAGCCAGTGGAGCAGACCTGTTAACAGTGGATATGTGATGGCCTCAGGATATAATGAGAAATCAAGCTGGCCCCCGATATTAGCTAGTATTACAAACGTATTCTCGCGGAGGACATCCAAACAAGACCACCACCAATACTCCTCTGTGATAGTAGGGGAAGATAAATCAGCATCTAACCTATCTCCCCCTCCCTCTTCCTCCTCCTCCTCCTCCTCTCTGCTCTTAGCTTCAGAGCTCTTACTAGAAGACTGAGAATGCAAATGAACATGGTGTAGCAATAAAAGATGTCCTAGTATGATAAGGAGGCCTGGATGCTGTGAGAATTCGAAATCATTCCCCGGTATAAAGGAGAGGGACCTGAGTATATTAGACAGAGAGAGTGTACGATGTTTCAGTGCTTCTTGCTGTGAGGGTATCAGACACAATGGAAGTGGCTCACACTTTAACACCTCATTCTCTTCCCTCAGAGGTGAAGCAGGTTTAGCCACACTCTCAGACTCTTCCTCTTCCGGCTGTGGCGGCAGGAAGTATTTCTGTATAGGACTACGTGCCATTAGTCTCCTTGGGGTCTTCAAGTGTAGCAGAACTCTCTCAGTGAGGGCATCACGCTTCAAGAGCTCATCAACTTTAGTTTCGTCAACATGCTGACAGACTCTCTTGTCTTTCTCAAGCTTCTCAAGAGGGTGGCACTGTGGTAGTGATTCAGCAAGGACATCAATAATAGCAGAGGACTGTAAAAAGTGGCAGACGTGATCGGCCAGTCCTAATCTAACGTCATTAGACGAGTGATGATAGACGGAGGCGGTCGGGGAAGTGGAGTCTGTGGAGGCCGTGCTGGAATCAAACTTGTCCAACTGTTGGAAAGGATGACCAAATATCTGATAGAGACAAGTGTTGAAGTGATTGACTAGCGTGTTTAATAGACTGTGGTGGTGTTTTAGGTAAAAGAACCCGACAGTTCTATCATCATGAAGGAGTATCGTGAGTGTGTCTAGTGCCCAGGTTGATTCTGCTGGGAGCCCACACTTGAGAGACATCATGACATGCCATGGCTGAACATTACCTGAAATAAAGCAATAATAATAACAACAACAACAACTACAACAACAACAACAACTACAACAACAACAACAACTACAACAACAACTACAACAACAATAGTAATAATAATAATAATGATGATGATGATGATGATAATAAAATAATGTAATAATGTAATAATAAATTAATAATATAAAATAATGTACTTATGTATTGTGCAAGATCTTTACATGCTGATAATAATTAATACTAAGATATTCTAATTAGAAAGGCTTTAATAAGATTTGTCCACAAGGTTACACTCACCATTTCAATTTACACTTTCAGATATTAAATTTTACTATATACATGTATATATGTATGGGGAATAGGAAAAGTGCCAACCAGTGACTATTATGAAAATTACTCAAATCAAAAGCTGATGCACACACACACACACACACGTATAAATGTATCTAACAAAAGAAATACCCAAATAATTATCATTGAACTACACTGTATAGTAATTTCGTGGTTTGACAGTTTCATGAGTAGAACTTTCACAGTCAATTAGCTTAATTGGGAACACGCCTAGAACCCACAAATCAAGTAACAAAAATTAAGAAACTAATAAAACAATAAGTACAAGTAAAATAGGAATTTACAACATACAAATATTTTAAAAATTTACATACATCCATATGTAACCCATCAACTTGCTATGATAATGACTTTTAATGATAAATCCACTCAATCCAGTAGTTCTTAGTATTACTAGTAGATATGGTTGCATGTGAAAGGAGTACATGCTACTATCGACGCTTATGCTGTCCCACTATAAACATGTCTACCAGCTTCAAGTGTTTTCTTAACACATTCAGTTCATTACTACACGAAATGCCAATCATATGTACATGTACATGTACACAGTACACAGGCCAGCAAGTACAGGAACACATACAAGAACAACAACACATTAATGAAATAACAATAAAATACATTAAATATTGTATTAATGATTTAATAAAAATTAATAAAAACAAGTACAGTAATGAAATAATAATAATTATAATAAATAATAGAATGCTTACCACAATGGTCACAGTTTAATCGTCTTCTCTTGATGAGTTGAGGCTGGAGAGATTCAATGGGCTCCACTGGTCTCTTCAACTGCTGCTGCTGCTGGAAAAGAATAAGAACAATAAATTAAAAATACACAACATGTACATGTACATGAAAAAAAAAAGAAAGTAAAAATAAAACAATAAACTCATGTTTAATTACTAAAAACATGCTACATGTGCAGTATACACTTAAAAATAACATGTACAATCTGATGACTAACTTGATGGATTGGTGATGATTTCTCACTGATATCTTTCACTGATCCATGCTGAGGTGGAACCGGTTTAATATCCTTCTCCAGGTTCTTATGAGGAGGCGTGGTCATGACCTTATCGACGGCAGAAGTGGGCGGAGTCTGATTCGGAGCCCCTTGATCAGTGACCACAATCTTAATGGGATCCATCGGTACCGGAGAAGATGAATCAGACTCGCTCATAGCTCTTCCTACTGACACGCCCCCAGGGCCGGCCGGCGATGCTCCTGAAGACTGATGATGCTGCGTATGAGTGTGCTGCTGGTGAGGAGTGGAGGGACGAGGGGAGAGGGAGAGAGGAGGAGGAGGAGTGAACATCATCGACTGAAGGTGTGGCGGTAGAGGGGGAGGTAGGTGTGGTCTCTGTTGCATTGAGGGGTGTGTCCAGTGCCAGTCTCCCATCCCTCCCATTGCATGCTGGTTGTACTCATCCATACGTGAGCGCATCATCATGTTTGGATAATTATAGGAGCCGTCGTCGTGATAGCCAGGATACATACCGCGTGACATGTACAGGGACATGGTTTTCTGTTGGTACGGGGAGTAATCGGACATACCCCCGGCCCCCCCACCGTAATATCCCGGGAACCCACCAGAGTGGTGATGAACGAGGCCGGACTGATAAGGACTAGGTACCATTGGGGACTCACCCATTGATGGAGCCTGATCCCCTCCTCCTCCTCCACCTGGCGAAGACCAGCCGGGAGGAAAGGAAGGAGAGGGTGTGGTCGGCTGAGGCCCTGAACTAGACGTTGGTATCCCTAGGACTGACTCCGCTTCCTGTACACTGATATCTGGCAACGAGTCTTCGGAGAATATGACACTGTTGCTGTCCAGTAGTTTATCTAATTGTTGCTCGTCTTGATCCTTTTGTTGTTGTTGTTGTTGTTGTTTATTGGAGTCACTCTCGTCCTTTATCTCTTCGTTAGGAGGTGGGAGGGGCTCCGAAGTAGTAGACTCGTTGCTGTTACTATTAACAGTGTTAGCAGCAATGGAGGGAGGAGGAGGAGGAGGGTGGGAGGACTGGGGATGATGGGAGAGCTCGTAGTGTGACATGCAGTCACTGAAGTTGGTGTGACTGAAGTGACATTCGTACGGGAGGAGGACTTTGACGTAATATTCTGATAGAGTCCTCATGGAGGCTGAGCTCGGGTTGTTTGAAGTACAGAATGACTTGAGGACTTCTTTCCAAAGCTTCTTATCAACAACCTACAAACAATTAGAGAGGAGTACTCATAGTCATATTAGTACACTGAGTCTTAACTTATATACTACAGAAAGTACACCTTATCATAATGTTGAAATAAACTTAATGGCATAAAATCACATAGAGTATGCACACAGAAGCACAACTAGTGTGAAATACTATAGAAACTTATCACTTAACAACTATACATGTACATACATGTAGTATATTCACATACATGCACTCAGGGTTTCCCACAGGATTTGGATTGTCCAGTTGCTCAAAAATTGGGCCAAAGACCCTGAAAGACACTGTACTACTATAGTACAGAGTTTTCGATAAAAATCACTAAGAGAAAATTCTCCATTTTTATAATTTTTTCTAATGCATATAGCTGTTTTTATGTTGTGTAGAAAGTTTTAACTGATTCCGATCAATTTTGAATTTTTCTACAAATTTTTAAAGTTGTTAAAAAAAACCAGCTAAAGTCCCTGTACTATAGTACAGGGATTTCGGTTAAATTTCGTCAAAAATGAAAAGGAGAGAATTCTCCATTTTTATAATTTTTTCTAATGCATATACTTGTTTTTATGCTGTGTAGAAAGTTTGAACTGATTCTGATCAAGTTTGGATTTTTTTTACAAATTTTTTAAGTTGCTCCAAATGCCATGTACATGTATGTGTATATACTGTGTCAGCTTCATGAAGCATCATGCTGTTTAGCTCTCTTAGCACTCTTTGTGGGAAACCCCGCATGTAGTAGAACAATAATATTCAAACATGTACACATGTATATTCGATTACATTTACATGTATGTAAAGCTATGGAGTATAAGCACAGATGTACAGTACATGCACGATGTACACCAAAATAATTAGATTATGATGCTAAAGGTCATGCAGTCATTCACCCACACAGTTTATTAATCATGTAGCATCGTTGCATTGTGAATTTGTGAAACTGTCAAGCTACACAAATACGCATGCATCAATACCAAATGCAAACACACACACACACACACTAGTACTATACACTCTTGAAGAGAAATTAAATAAGAGAAAGAGAGAGAAGGCCAATAGTCATAGAAGAGAGAGAGCCAGTGAATAGAGTACACAGAGATAACATGTGAAGCAACAGATGGGACAGTGTGCTACTATGCCATAATCAGCCCATATACTATAGAGCAACAAGTGTTCCAATAGTACAAAGTACAGACAAACACACACACACATGTGTATGTACATATACACATGTTATTGTCAGTAATGTGTGTGTGTGTACATAAGGCTCATTCTACACATTGCAGACATCAAAGGAATGCCACTGCCTATCATACTGAAAGGTGTGGGCCACCACCACATGTTCCCATGCAGTCAATAACTGTGATATACTGTACCACTCACGTGTGTGAATCCACCTAGCCTTTGTACTGCTGTGAAAGTCTTATAAAGATCAAGGACACACTTACTGATGGAGGGAGGCTTTAGGTAAGGAATATCTACAAAAAAGGAAAAGTGAAATTGTATATAAGGAAAGGATCAGGAGATAAACCTCTAACTTACTCTTTTGGTCCATATATTTGAATATGGCATCAAGGAAATCTCTCCTACCAGGCTCATCAGACATACTGTACTGATTAGCAAGAGACTGTGTGTGAGATGTGCATTAATAAGAATAAAAGTGAGGTGGGCATTAATTAGAAAACTCACTGGATGAGTTCTGGTGACGGCTGAAAATGATGGAGTCCTCGTCTATGTAATAGTAATAAATAAATGAGGGGCGTGGTCGTGTGGGTGTGGTCTTACCTTTTTAGTAATTGCTGGACTGTTAGTAGAGGAAGTTGGAGATATCGACTTCTCGTGAGGAGATTTTGAAAAAGAAAAGGCTTCTCCGTTCTCAGTCGAGACTCCACTCCCAGCCACACCCCCACTCCCTCCGCTATTAGAATCCTTAAAACCTAAAATAGACTCAACTTCAAAAGGGCTGTGAGATGTAGGACGTGACGTCCCGTTTCCATGAGCACCAAGATCATTCTGCTGCTGTGGAGGCTGAAGAGGAGACGAGGAGGGCTCATTATTTGGAATAATACCAGGAATACTGGGAGTGGCAGGGTCGGGAGTACCCACGGCGTTAGGTGTACGAGGAGAGGCGTGGCCCATCGATTCCCCGGGCCCACCCACTGATAAGTAAGAGGGCGTGTTAAACTGAAAGGACTTGCTAGTAGTGGATAATGATGAATCATGTAAGGATTGAGGAGGAGGAGGGTTAGAGAGAGCGTCCTTGAGACTAGAGACAGATGAACCTTTTTGTAGTTCATTTGTAGCTCCACCCACTGCCGGCTGGGGAGACTGTGAGGACTGATAGCCAGGGGGAGGGGCAGGGGGAGGAGCATGATGCATTGCGTCACTCATGATCTCCTAAAATATAAAAAAAACATTTTATATAATAGATACATATAGGTACAGGTACACAATGAGAAAAATGTACATGTACATGTACTTTTGTGATTTTCATATGAAATGTAACTAATCAATGAATGTGAAAATAATACATGTGCATGTACAAAGCAACGATGAATCTGTTACATTAATTGTGCTACACAATTAGCTAAAATAAAAATAATTACATGCATACATGTAAAAGAAGGCTAAAGTATAATTATGAGAAAATAAACAGCCAAAAGAAGACATGTACATGATGTACATGTTAGGATGAATAAAAATAAATATTAATAATTCAAGCATGCATATACGTACATGTACATGCATATGAAAATGTACATGTACACATGAAATAAAGAAAAGTTATTACTATGTACCTGATGGCCACCAGACCAGCTCCTACCAGGGCTATTCAGATTAGCGGAAGACACAGAAGAGGATCCGTCCCATATACTGTTAGTCTGATGGGGCATACCATATCCATCCATTTGATGGTGAGGGTGAGGGGGAGGAGGAGGAGGAGGCATAGAGGGAGGTGGGAGATAGGACGACTGATGCTGGTACGCACCGACAGGATACATGTACCCGGGGAAACCCCCACCAGCCCCAGCACTGTTCATCATCTCCGGATGATAGGGCGGTCTGTACATTTGATCCTATTAAGAGAGGAGAGAGCGAGAGAGAGAAAAGGAAAGGGAAAAAGAGAGAGAGGGAAGGAAGAGGAGTATACAGAATAAAGAAAGACAGAGTGGGAAAGAGTTTAAGGTAAAATAAAGAAGTATTACCAGATTTAGAAAGAATTGATTTGAAGTGAAAAAACAAAGTGACAAAGGTCAACATGTGAGGCAAGTAAAACATACAGGGAATGGTTATAAGTGGAAAGTGGAAGACACACAAGGGAGACCATGAAGGGGGTAAAGAGAACATAAGAGGGGTAGGAGGGGAACACAAGTGGCACTAAGAAACCACAAGCCTTATTAACATTGTCCAGCCACTAATAATGTACACAATATGCACCTATCACTTCCATATAAGGGAAAGGACTGTATACTAGTGTATAAATGTGGTCTAGTCTTTATGCCAACTATACAGTTACACTTATATATGTATTGTTACTAGTGGGGATGGCGGGAATTACAAAAGTAGGGAGTTTCCCTAATACTGCTGCTAAGAAAGGCATGTAAGCAAACTAAACCCATTCACAAACTGTCTGCTGTCTATACCCAATGCTTTAGAGGTACATACAAATCCCTCCTAATTAGTGGGAAAGGCTAATGTCCTCACATACCTGCCCAGGGAAGGAATAGTCCGGCTTGTTGGTCATCATCGGCTTCTGCATTTGAGGGGGTACCATTCCCGGCGGGACCATCATCGAGTTCCAGGGCATATGTCCACCGTATAACGGGTCGTGCGGCGGCTTACCGCCGTACGGATTTAAATTAGGACGAGGCATACCAGGAGGGTACGAAGAGAGTCCTTCCGGCATCTTTGAGTGGTAATATTGATGGTAGGGGAACCTGGCCGCGTTCCTACCCATATCAGGGAGCCCCCTAACCGTCTGACCATCTGCAAACTGTGGATACATCTCTACAAAGACGGACAGGGGTGACATTAACACACATAAAGCGAAAGCTTATAAGCTTTAAGGCCAGATGATGCAGACGGAACGGCAGCTAGCTAACGCATTGTGGGATTTATGTCTTACTTGTGAGGAGTCTTGGTGCTCTTAGAGATACCTACGAAGCTTTCAAAAGATCTGTCTCTCTACTTCTGAGCGCCATTTTGCCATTGTGGGTAGATACCGTATACACGGCTCACTAATTACGGCCACCACGTGTGGATCTAATTAAACGAGCACTTCCTCTTTGGAGAAAAAATTACTTTTGCCATCTTGCATTATTTTTTAGTAATAATAATAATAAACAGAGAAAGAGAAAATAGAGAGAGTTCTTTTATCTTCCTCCACCTCCACCAGATTTCCCTTGCTTTGGCATCTTTGCTTTACCTCCTTTAGGTGGTTGCTTAGTCTGTGCTCTCAATTGAGCCTATCAACGTATAAACAATAACAAACACACAAACACTTCCACTCACCTTCTGTGCTCTTTGCTTCTCCTTCTTCTCAGCCACCTTTGCCTTAGCTGCCCTTATAGCCTGTTCCCTCTGAGCCTTGCGTACTTCAGGCTTCTGGTTCCTCTTCATTAGGATCTCTTGTAGCGTAGCACCTTGGATTGGTCTAGAGTGTTTCACCATGCGACGGGTTCGCTTCTTAGTGACCTCCTCCTGAGTGCCTTTCTTGTGCTTCCGACGGTATAATACTGTCCACGGGGTCTCTCGAGGATTACGCTTCATTAAATGAGACCTTGAGCACTTTCCACTAATGAAATTGTACACCTAAAAATAAAACAATGGATAATGTAGTAAAAAGACTACAAGTAGTCAAGTACAAGTACATAATCGTGTCTTGGTTATATAGAAATATTTATCATTATTACAGCTGTTGTGGTTATTTTACTATAAACATTTAAGCAATGCTTAAAACACTTGAAGGAAGTGATGATCATAATCGTCATTATAAAATGAAAGAAAAACAGGACAATAGAACTCTCATTGTACAAGTCTAATAATCAAGTATTACAATTACCTAACACAACATAAACCTCAGAAATAAAACATTCAAAAATCCTCATACTACACTGATTATTGAAACAGGCAGAAACTGATGAGTAATCATTATTAGAGTTGAATGAGATAAAAAAAGGAAAGACACTTGCTTGGTTCTTTATCATTAACATTTTTAATATTAGATAGTGACAACTTAAACAGAAGTCAAACTATTATCATTATTTGTTAATCCTCTTGTATCGATTTTATCAGTAACTCAGTGTCTAAATTCTGTAATGGTACATCTATGCAGCACAAGTAAGACCACCTCAGCTACATGTACATGCAGGTATGGTAATATTGTGTACTCCCATTCACCAGTAATGAGCTCAACATACATATTATGTATATATTAGATAAAAACAGGGCTAATTTATTAATATAATGACTGCAATGTAGTTACCTTTCCATCTATCCTCACATATCTCTTCCCATGGCCAGGATGAATCTTGTACCCACTAAAATTACACAATTCTACCCTATCAAGACAATATGCACATTAATGAAGAGGTTAGTATGAGCATACAGACTAGAGACATTACTAGGAGAGAGATGGAAGAAGATACACTTACTTCATTTTGTGTCCCTTTTCACTCTTGCACCATCACCACGTGAACTTTCCAGCCACACCTTCTTTGTAACCGCACCCTCTTCCACGCCTATTAAAATGGCGGCACCTATTGATGTTAAAATACAAGAGACTGAGGTTCGTGTTGAAGCTCCTACTCCTCCAGTGAGTGAGTCCTCCCGTACTGATCCTCCAAAGAGTCCATCAAAGACAAAGGGACCATCAATGAAGCATAAGAGTAGATCACAGACAGAGTCACTTAGAGAATCTGAAAAAGCACTTCAACAACTTTTGGAGGATTTTGAGGAAGGAAAGCTCAATGCTTTTGGTATGTTGCTATGACAATAATTGTGAACAAGGGTACCACATTGCAAAAAATAGAGCTCTTGCAGCATGAGCGTATTCAACCGGGAGAGCAGCTATGACTGCCTGGCAAGAATGTACATGGTGGAATGGGGAGAATAATTGGAATAAATTTTACAGTTGACACTCCAGGTTAAAGAAGATATAAAA